AGTATATTATTAAAAAGGTGATTTTCAGGGCTATAAGGTCTCGGTAAATATAATATGGAGTTTTAAAGTCACTTATTCCTTGTATGTGGTTCTACTGTACGGACTGTTTTACTTTTCTCTTTTCTAGTTAGGTATAAAATCTAGTTAAGTATAAAAATTAATAAAGTTATACTTCGGAATTCAAGCATGTTAGTCAATAAGCTAAGGGATAAACAAATAATGAAAAACGTTACAGAACAATAAGTGGACCAATAATACCGAAACAAAGCATAAGAGACATAAAACATTATCAAAGCTCATCTTATGCAAATCAATCAGGCATACTACTTAAATTCATCTACTAAGATTCACAGTTAATAGTTTGAAATTCAGTCATACAAATAACCTTACTTTTCTTTATTTTCGTTAAATATCAATCAGTAAATTCAACCAGACGATGAGTTAAGTTAGAGGATAATTTTTGAGATTCCATTCCATCCTAATCTAATAAGGAACCATTTTCGGTGATCCTTAATTTCTCCATCCCGCAGCATCGTGATGTAACACCTTGTAATGCCCCTCCCCCCCCCCCCAAAAAAAAAAAGAAAAAAAAGACCCCAAATATGAAAGTGTGAGATCAAAAAAGAAAATAAAAAAAAGTCAAAATGATGATTAGTCGTTCTTTAGAAGAAGCAACTTAATTTTACAAAGCAATCGTGGCCCTTTCACTGTCCCGTTAAACTAAATTGTTAACCCAACACTTTTATTTTGTGATGAAAACATTATTAGCTAAAGGATGTAATCGCTGAAAGAAGAAAAGATTGGTAAGAAAGCGTGGAATATATATATACATATATGAATTAGTGAATTACAGTAAGTTAGAAAATAGCACTACATTCCAAAAGAAAAAGAAGATTGAAATTTGGCAGGAAATGTTTTTCTTTTTTTTAGAGGTTGAAAAATTTGATAAGAATTAGGCTAATTACAAATTATATCGCTTCATGTAAAATAATTAATGATTAAATTGATTAAATTAATTTATGTTAATAATTTTTGAATGGAATGATTAAAATATTTGAATTCACTGATTGAATCTAATATGTTTAATTTAGTTACGAATTATCATATATTATAATTAACCATTTATTGTTAAAACAATCCCATACTGTTTAACAATATTAAATATAGTTTTATATAATTTCATATGTTCATACTAATATATTTTAGGTGTAAAACAACATAAATTAATTACTAGGCAAATTGTATTTCTAATTAAAAAAAAAAGGACAAATTTATGTTAAGTTAAAATAGAAATCAGGAAAGTTTGGTAACTTTTAACCAAACATTTGATCAAAATTAATTAGCCTCTAACCTTAGCGACGGTATTAATAATAAATTTATTATAATTTATTATCCTAATAAATCACGTTTAAAAGAAAAAAAAATAGCATGATTATTGATGAGATTACAAATATTTTACTGCTGTGGCATTTTCCATAGTGTTATCATTCTATGAATTTAATTAATTTGATTTAATTATAACAACTAATCAATTGTTACATCTTTGATAACAAATCTGATAATTACCAATTCTTTGTATCTAAAAACTTAACTCTGGATATTAAAGATTGGATGTATTATTAAATGCATATATCTGTGATAATAACAGAGCAGTAAGTAAAATGAAATTAACAAAATTATTTTTTAAAATTTAATTGTTAATAAAAAATGATATATAACGAAAGTTCAACATTTGGACTTTTTATGTTAGATGGATTTAAGCCAAGAAAAATAATATATAGCGTTTGCATATTTTACAATTTTTTTTCCGACAGTTGGCTATTTTACTAAAAAAAATCCCAATTTTTTATTTCATTTTTTTTTGGTTAAAAAAATTTTTTTTTGTAATTAATTAAAATGCATTCTAATTTATGATAATATTAACACTCATTTTGTATCATATCATAAAGTTAGGCCTTTATATCATTTAGGCTTGTGAGAAAGTAAATAATCAACATTCTTACTTATTTCATTCATTTACTTTCAAGAGGGAAATAAAAATATGCAAAATATATGGAAGTTTGATGACGTCAAGAGATAGCACTCTGTCTGTTTAATGGCAATGTTTGGCCAAGTAAATCGATTTCTCTTGAACGATCTTTTGGCTCACTCCGCCCATTACTACTACTTGCCAACCCTAATCATATCTGAAGGAAGTCTTAGGCTATCAGTCAACGTTTTCCTTTTCATAAAATCATAAAATAATCATTTCCTTTGAAATGCTATCATGATTTGGCCAATGATAACGATGCGAATTCATCATTCATACGGTGGTTTTCTCATGCTATCGATCATCATCATGGTACTAACCATTGGTCAAGCTATTCAAGAATCAAATTTTGATTATAACTATAAGAGTATTGGTGATGATAATGATAATAATGATGATGATGGTGATGGTAACAGTATTGTTGATAATGATGATAATCGTAACATCGTTTCATTTCAATCTTATGAAGATTTGGACAATACAAATGATAAGGTTTTAATTAATAATAAATTAAGCTTTTTCGTTATTCTTCTTTTTTTTATCAATTTTTTCAAAATTTGCTGCTTAACAATATTTCACATTTTTATCTTTCTTTATTCTCTATACCTAATTTTGTCGTTGTACCAATTTTTCTCAATTTTTTCTCCCAATAAATTTTCCATTTTGCCATAAAATGCCTTTTTCCTATCACTTTTTTTTTGGTTTAAAAAAATCGATTCATTTACTTCCCATGATTAATTAAATCATATCAATCATTTATCGAATAGATCTTTTTTTTTTAGCTTTTAATATGAAATTTTTGAACAAATTTACATTACTTGTTCAATTTATTAGTTTTAAATCTTAGATATCTATTAATTTTTAAAAAATTTAGGCATATATTTTACCGATTTCAAAACCAATTGGACAAGTGACAGGACTTGGAATTGATTCACAAGGATATCTTCTAGCTTTTCATAGAGCTGATCGTGTATGGAATCAATGGTATGACAAAGTTTTTTACGTGATACAAAAAAAAAAAAAATTTCAATTGTTGAAAATAATGCAAGAAAAATTTTGATGGATTATTTTTTTTCATTTAAATGTCTGAAATTTTTCATGCAAAATTTATGGGTAATATTTTGGTCAAAAAAAAAAAAAAGAAGAAAAGAATGATAGGATAGTTATATTTGTATAGGTAATACATACATGAATCTTATACAGAACATTTTAAATTATAAAAATAAAATTTTTCATTCTATAAGTAATAAGAAATTATAAGTAATAAGTATTGAATTAAATTATAAGTAATAAGTGTTGAATTAAATTATAAGTGTTGAATAAAACAGAATAATGGAACAAAAATTAAAAATGATTAATGATTATTCGAAATTCATTCTTTAATTATATCATTACTTGTTTTTTTTTTTTTTCTTTTAATGAGAAAAAGATCGATTAATAGGGAGAAAATATTAGTGCAAATATATAATTAAAAATGAAATTTTATTTTATTCATTTTATGTAAACAAAAATTTTTTGCATTTTCTCGAAAAAATTTTCAGATTTTTTGCTTTACAATTGATAAATTTTCAAATTTTGAAAATTTAATTTATAAATTTTCGAATTTTGAAAATTTAATTTATAAATTTTCGGATTTTTTCTTTGAAATTTTGTACTTTTTCCACTTTTCCTCTCAGTATAGAAAATATTAAATTTAAAAATCATTTGGAATTTTTTTTTAGTAAAAAAAAAATTCCATTGTTGTGATAAATTTGTTATTTTCTATAAATAGAACATTTCGAAATCAAAAAAAAAAAAGAAATTGGACTAATAATGACAGTATTTTGATCTCGATATGAAATATGAACTACACCATGTTCATAATATGGACTAGTAAGCTTCACATAGAAAGTCTTCTCTGCAATAGGAGCGGCTTTGTCCAACAGTTAGTCCGTTAAAGGATTCGATGATGAAAAGACCTACCTGAACAATCATATTGTACTGTGTATGCGATTATTAAATTTAAATTTGATTTTTGGTTTTTGAATTTGAATTTGATTCCTCAATTTTCTTTCTTTTTTTTGAGATTATGCATAGTTTTGAAAACATTATAGTTAATATAAATTTGATTTCTGACAATCTATTTACTGTAATGACCTAATTACCGGTAGTTAATTTTCTCAAATAAAAATAGTCGACAAAATTTTTGATTATACATATGTGTCTATTTACTAAATTACATGTTTATTTGTTATTTTCTCTAAAAAATAAAAAATGGATAAATGATAGTATATATCGAATAATCGAATTGAATTAAATTTTAATTATGCAAATAATTTGCTAAATAAATACTGTTATTTCTATTATTTAATTGAATAGTCGCAAAGTTGAAAATTTTATCCCTTTAAAATCATGTAAGCTTTTCAAATTACAATTCTGTAATTAAATATAATGAAGAAATGAATTATGATGTATTATTATGCATTGATGATGATCAACAATAATTTTAATAATGGTAATTAATGACACTCAACGTGATGATTAATAATTCTCAAGGCTATAATTAAGTAATGCTAAAATTATAAGTTATAATCAAAGCTATAAAATTATTAATAGGTCATTTATAAGTGGTCATAAAATTATTAATAGGTCATTTATAAGTTTTCGTGATATAATTATCACGAAAAGATTATAACACTTAAAATTTTGATGTAAAAATTTTAATTATTTTGAATCCTTATAATAAGATTACCTACTATAATGATAATGAATTTCAGGTCATTTGATAAATACAATAAATTTAATACAAGTCTTGGTCCAATAAAAAATGCAACTATTTATATAATTGATCCACATTCTGGCTCAGTTATGAAGGAATTTGGCCAAGGTATCTTTTACATGCCACATGGATTAACTGTTGATAGTGATGATAATATTTGGGTAACAGATGTTGGATTACATCAGGTAAGGATAATTTAATTCATTTAAATTTTATACAAATGTTTTTTTTTCTATTTCTTTTGAAGATTAATTTATTCTTTTCAATTTTACAACCGTTTAATTTTTTGTTTTAATTTATTTATTAGTTTAAAAAAAAAAGAAATTTGAATGTATATCATTCAAGCGAATAATTTTGATAATCTAGCTTAATTTTTCATTGTTTCAAATTTTGGCTAATATTTAAAAGATTATTTCAGGTATTAAAATATGATAAAAATTTCAAATTATTGTTGAAAATGGGTGAACATTTGAAACCAGGCTCTGATAATAAGCATTTTTGTAAACCAACTGATGTAGCGGTTGCCCGTAATGGACATTTCTTTGTGGCTGATGGTTACTGTAATAGTAGAATCATGAAATTTGACGAAAATGGCAAATTTTTAGCAGAATTTGGTCATTCCAATGGTATGTTTCTTTTTTTTTTTTTTTTATTTTGGATATTATCAATTAGCTGAATTTAGTGAAATGTCAACGAACTTTTTGCATAATTAGTGAAATTAATTAAGAAATTATTAATTAAGCATTTTGACTTTATAACCTTTTATTATTCTTTTTTTTTTATTCTTTGCAAGCCTAATTTTGACAAATTCATTTATGATGATTTATAGTTACTATCCAATCACTGTAAATTAGGTATACATAGAATAATTTGTTGTAAAAAAAAAAGAAAAATTGATTTGAAAATTTTATTGTTTTTTTTGAAATTTTCAAATTAATAGAGCATATGGAAATTATTATTGGTAGCTGTTGAAATCATATCATATCCTTATCAATCTTATCAATGTTTTTTTTCTTTCCACAGATAATCTCAGAAATTGTGAAAGTAATCAAAATGTAGCGTTTATTTTCTTGCAAAAAGGCTTTTTAAATCGAAATAAGCCTATACTCTCTCTCTCTCTTTTCGTGGAAAAAAGCTTTTTAAATTAAAATAAGCTACCCTCTCTCTCTCTCTCTCTCTCTTTTTATTTACTTACTTCACTAAAGGAAGTTTTACTTGTCATTATTTTATCATACAACTTTTACTTGTCACATAAAATTTTATGAATATATCTTGAGATTAGGAAGTAGCAACGATTGCTTTCCTATAAGAGAGCTATCATTTCGATGTAAAATTATCCTAACAATATCAGGAGGTATATTGTAGAATGGTCTATTATTAATAATAATCCATGCTGTAAAGCATTTAAAATGAAGTGATATGCTAGTTTCAATAGGTAATAGCCCGTCTAACTATCAGGTATTGTTGCTATAAGAGCCATTGAGATAGGCCTACATTTTTCATTTTAAAACATGCGTTTAAACGCATTTACTGTCCCGGTGACAACTTCACAATAGTTCTCTTTTTTGTCTATATTTCCGTATGTTTCCTTTCCTTTAATTTACATCTCTTATGACTTTAAAGACCTAAGTATTATTTAAAAGAGCGACGTGACACTTATGGACCAGTTCTATGTCAGTGGAAAGAGTTGACTAACTCATACTATATTCACCCCTTTTTTTTTTTTCCAATGAAATTGGAGTATTTTTTTTTTTTTTTAGGGTAGACCTCGGATATCAATCTTTCTAAGTATCAGAATAATTTGTTTTGGAAAAAACTAGTAAAATGCAGTAATTTGGACCATTAACAATTACTTATAGGAACTTATTATGATTTTATATGATTATCAAATAGAATTGCAATTATCATTTCCATATTGATTACACAAATTTTCCAATACTAATACTATCGGAATTTCTTCAAAATATAGTTTGGATGAGAAATAAAAATGGAAATTGAAAAATTATGAATTAAAATTCATAAATTTTTATAATTTTAATAGTGATATCTATGAAATACTCAAGTAAGAATTATTTTTTCTAAAGAAAAAAAAAGAAAGAACTTTACGAACAGAAAAATAAAAAAATGGAAAAGATTTTTGCAAAATTAGGAAATAGTATGATGTCATGGTATCCGTTCTTTTTTTTTTTTTTGTTCCTGAAAAATTGGTTTTTACGGATGATGAGTTTTTCCGATAAAATAGACTTTCATTTCAAAGTATTTCTTTTTTTCTTCTTGATGCGACACTTGAATTGAAACGACATTCAATTAATAAAAAAACTTTACAAACAAAAAAAAAAGCGAAAAAAATTTTTAAGAATTAGGAAATCATTTATTTCCTTCTTTTATTTTTTTAATATTTAAAATGATAATCATCAAATCATTCATTTCACTCTTGTTTTTTAGTGGACAATAATTAAATAATGTAATTGAATTAATAAAATTTAATGAGAAAATAATTAGGAAATACTACTAAAAGAAAATCATCACAAGCATTAATATTATTAAATTTAAAAATAATTTTCATCACTGTTTTTTCTTTTTTTTTTTTGTATAAGTTTAAAATGCAACTAAAATGAATAACTGAAAGTAAGTACTGGAAAAAAAACGAAAAAAAAATTTGTTAATGATTAATTAATTTACGATTTTATTATTTCAGGTTTAATTAATTTACGATTTTATTATTTCAGGTTTAATTAATTTACGATTTTATTATTTCAGGTTTAAGTGGAACAATCGATAACCAGTTTTTGTTACCCCATTCAATAGCTTTAATCGAGGATTTAAATTTGATATGTGTGGCGGATCGTGAAAATGAACGGATCCAATGTTTTAGTGCTGGTATCACCGATGATCATCGAGCATTACCAACCGGAATGTTAATTACCAAAGCGGAAAGTGTTGGTCGAATTTATGCGATTCGTGAAAAAAGTACGAAATTGATTTCTTTTTTTTTTTTTTCGTTTCCCTCACTTCTTTTCTTGGTAATCATCTATTTATAAGATTAGGCAAAATTCTGAAAGATTTCAAAAAAAAAAAGGAAGTATCGGTGATTTTGATAGTTCTGATGAATAGGAAGTATCCGTAGTTCTGATAAATAGGAAGTAATTGGTGGTTCTGATAAAGAGGAAGTAATCGGTGGTTCTGATAATTCTGATAAATAGGAAGTATCGGTAGTTCTAATTATCGTTCTTCAAGATAAAACTGCAAAGTGATATTTTTGGAAACGGTAAAGATATTACTTTTTTTTTTTTTTTAAAGATATATTACTCAGTGATATTCATTGATTTCTAAATGTCAACTGTTGTCAGAATGTTTGGTACGATTGTATACCGTAGCATATAATAGTTATATATCGTATTATCATGATATGGTATATATTAATTATGACGTGATATATTAGTCATTAAATTGTAATAATGGGAAAATGTCAACAATGAGTATGATGAAATTTAATGAATATTCGATATCGTAGGACATTATTTGGTGGGTGTAACGGAATCAGATGGTGAAGGTATCGAACCACAATTATTTGTGATGGATATGAATAATGGAAAAGCAAGTACATTTGTGAGGGTAATTTTTGAAATGAATCCTTTTTTTTAATTTAATCTTTGAATTCAATTTAAATTTCTTTTTAAATTTAAAAGAAGACGAATAGTTTTACTTTTATGAAATTCTTTAACAAAATTCAAAAAAAAGAAAAGAAGAAAGGACTACTTTTATTATCCAATTTTTTTTTTTCTCTTTTAGGGAATCGAAAATGCTCATTGCTTAACAATTTCGGATGATGGTATTGTTTATGTTGGCCAAACTGGGCCCAAACAAATTGTCCAAATTTCACTACTTGATCAGTAATGAATATTGAAATATGAATTCGATATTGAATTTCAAAAAAAAAAAAGAATTTTTCGGATAAAAATTTGCATTTCTCCTTCTTTCAATTAATGAATATATGATAAATGAAAAGGGCAAAATATACATAAATGGAAATTAATTTCGTTTTTTTTTTCCATTATCGTATTTATTGCGTGAATGAATATAACCAAAATATTAGTATAACAAAAAAAAAAAGAAAAAAAAAGCTTGTTTGCATTGGTGATGATGATGATGAGAAGCGTTAAAAATTCGATAATCAAAAAAAAAAGTTCAAACATAAAATAAAATTTCAAAAAAAATTATGGATGAATTTTATTTTAAACCGTCTAAAATTAAATACATTTAAAAATAAACGATTAATAATAGAATAATCATTTGCTTAATTTCTGCTATTCTCAAACTTTTTTTTTTTTGACTAATAGTTTTTCAATTAAATAATTTTTGATGGAAACAAAATGAATGTTACAATGAAAATATGAATACTAAAATATAAAATCAATCAATACTAATCAACTAATTAACACTTGGGATGTTTTTTTTTTTCTTTTTTTTTGTTAGTTTATCTAATAATACTTATCCTCAATTAATTGAATTTCTGCCAAAAAAAAATTGATTTAATTTTTGCTATTATTCAAATTTATTTAACATTAAATTTTGACGATTATCATTTAGATGATTGATCTTTTTTCATTTTTTGTTTTGAATTTCTATGGTAGTAGCATTTATTATTTTATTTTAAAGTAATATCTTAATTCAAAAAAAAAAAATGTGAATTCGACGGCAAACAATTTATATCGCTTTTTTTTAAAAAAAACTATTTATATTATCTAAGTTGAGAATTTAAAATGTAAAGTTCATTGAAACTTATATAAATCTCTATTTGAAGGCTAAATTTGAAATTAATAAAATGTCATCATTTTTGTCATCCATTAAAATAATTAATGGTAGTGAATTTTTGTTTGAACAATATGCACTTAACTGTATACGTTAGATGTTATAAAGTGATTTTAAGTTTGAGCAAAAGGGATGAAATTTGTGAGTGGAAGAAAAAAAAAAAAGCAAATATATCTATGTAAACAGGCAACAATATTTGAAAAACTTTTTGTGAAATAATTTATTCTAAAAATATTTTTTATTGTAAATTAATTAGTAAAAACAGTTATTTAATATTAATTAAGAAAAAAGTACAAGTGTTTTGTTGAAATTTAAATAATGAAATGAAACGAAATGGTAAAGGAAGAAAGACATTAATTTAATTATGCTCAAATGATCAATTAAAATAGTAAACAAAATGCAATTCATGTTGAAAATTACAAGTAAAGATTAGCATATCTTATCGATAAAGATGGGTATGATGAATATAATTTGGTTTTTAATATAGCAGTTAGTTTTGGCATGACATTCTATTTTTTAATTAGTAGACTTAGTAATTTTCTTCATATAAATTCAAAAGAAGAAAGTCTTTTCGAGAAATTTGAAAAAGTAATCGGTTTTTTTTCTTAAAAAAAAGTTTGGAAATCTAATTTGAGAAATTTCTCAGGAAGCAAAAGTTTTAATGAAAAATTACAAATTGGCGAATGGCAATTGTACTTTTCACATGCAATTTCTCGGAAAAAAACAAAATTTCCGAGAAATTTTTCATAATTTCGAAGTGAATTACAAACTAATAAATTAAATATATCGTCTAAAAAGAAAATATAAGTAATGCAATGGGAAAGGAGAAATGTAATGATGTTGAAGATAGATGTGGTCAGCAAGATTTAGCTATTCAAAAGTATATGCCCTTATTGACCACATCATCCATCCTTGACCTCGTGCTATTTATCCATTAACATCACTCTATCATTCTTCCTCAGTTAATTACTTCTAACACAAACTTTGTATTGATTATAGCTTTATCTTTGAAAAAAGCTAAATACGGCCGATGTTAATGATAGCATTAGATGATGAAAATATAAAAAGTAAAGCAGAAATGAAGTAATAAGAGAAATTAGTGGTAATATAGCAGCGGAAAATAAATCGGGAAGTGATAATATAGC